TGACAATGATGAACAGACAGGAAAATGTCTGGGATGATGTGATATCTTATGCTTGGCTTATTCAGTTTTGACAGCTGGAATAATTGGAGGCCATTAATTAATACTAGCTACTGCAACAAAAACTCAATGTAAACTGGCTTTGGTTCATTTTGAATCATGATCTTCGAACAGACTTGTAGCTGTATTTAATAACTGAAAATAGTACTTTGTGAAATATCACTGGAAGTCTTCTGGAACAACAAAGGGTCATTTTGTCAGTAAAATTGTCAGTCGAGTCAAGAACCAGGGTTTTATCTTTACTAGAAAGAATTAATTTAAAAGCATTTCTGCTTTAGAAATATAATTTCCCTTAATATTCATTAATCAAGTAAAACATATTTCTCCCAGGCACTGGATTGAGCCAAATGATGCTTTTCATCTATTGGTATTTTTTAGCAATAATGACTTTTGCAATATTGATTTTTGTATTCATGTTTAAGTTATTTCATTCACATGCATGTTACCAGGTTTCTGAGTGTTGGTGGTGTATTCCCTGCTTACACTCCAACGGTAACTATTCTTTCAATGCTGACACTTTGCATATGCGTGTTTGGAATTTTTAGTGTATTCAGGAAATATTGAGTACATATAGAAACAGTTGTTTTATTGGTTGATTTGTGTCGACATGCTACCTTGTTTCTAAGGGCGTATGATTTTGTGTGATAATCAAATGTTACAGTTTTACAAGTTCAGGTATGTCATCAAATTACTTCCAACGAACACACAGATTTTTCCTTTTGCACAAATCAACAGATAATTGTTGTTGGCTTCTGATATTCCATGGCAGGATCCTATGATATTTTTCGAAAAGAGAAGGGAGATTCTTCCAGTTGTCCTGACCAACAATCCTCCAGATAAAGTTGTTTATGCAACTGATGGCTGTTTGTGGGACACGGCTGTGGACACATTGGCAGTCTTGCTTGCCTTACAAATAGACATTTGCTACATTTCAGAAAAGTGTGGAAGTACTTGACTGACTGTCATCTTTCACAAGTTTCTAACTGAGAAGAGTTGAACTGTTTGAATACATATGTACTAGTATTGAAAAAAACACTTGCTATTTTGACGATATAAATCAAATACTTATTTGTGTTATTTGTTAGACTGATTTAGAAAAGCTTCTGCTATTGATGGATAAAACCTGTATTCTCTAAACAGCCAGCAGGTGTCCTCTCTGCATCTACAGTATTTCCTATTTGTGTTCAGTTTAGCCATTCAGATGGAGGAACAGATACATGAAACAAACACAAACATTCTGACTAACAATATCTCTCTTGATGATAAATATAGCTTTAACCACCATGCAAAACAAATGGCCCAGTGTTATACAAACAAATAATGTTCCAGTGGAATATAGCACAATTATTTTTTGTATTTCTTTCTTATAAGCTGATTTCTGTTTCTATGAGTAAGCGAGGAAGTCAGATTTCCTATATAATACATTTTCATAAAATCAGAGATGTGAGCTACTAAAGCTAAAGCTGCCAAACGTTCAAGACAAAAGATAGCAGAATACTAATGGGCACCAAAAACATGGAACAAAACACCTAGTTCCTGAAACAAAGCCTAGCCCAATGGATTGAGTAAGAGCTATTCCACTCAAAGCTTGATAACTTTGTTTTAATGAAAGGTTAAGTCAGGAAATGAAGAGGAATTGTGGCTATCTAAGATGTAAGGAAATTGGCTTTAAGCCCAGACTTCAAATGATGAGTTAGAAAGGACTTTGTGATCAGATTTTCTGTACTGAAAAGTGAAGATTGTAGTTCTTATTCGGGGAACTACCTAAGCAACATGAAATGACCAGGGTCCATGGAGAAAATATATTAGAAAAGAAAACGCTGACGTGATTAACAAAAAACACTCATCTGAATGGAATTATCCTTCATCTGAGTGGAAACCCTCCAAACTGAAACAAACAAGAAGGAGCGGGCCGAGGTAAATCTAAGAAATTAGTTTTGTCAATTTTTCAGTCAATAATGGATGCATTTATAAGGGTCGTATAAACTCAGGGATGATAAAATCCTAGCTTGAGCCTCTTCGGGCATACTGATTCACTCCCATTCTACACTGAGCAGTGGAAAAGGCAGAAACACGAGATCAATGACCGTCTTCAAGGGGGAGTCCAGAGACACAAGGCGAGTAGCAAAGAGCATGGATTCAAAAATGGCCTGCAAGGAAATGAATATTGTACTAAGGTCACTGAACAGCCATCCACGTAGCTCATCCGGTAATCAGCTTACACATGAGGTGAAGTCAAGAAGGGGAATGAAAACATGCCTAAACTAAGATCCAACATGCTAAAGTGAGGAGGTAGTTGAGATAAATAGAGACCTGGGTGAAGCTGCTCCAGGGAATTTTACACATTCAGAAAATGGCTTAGGCATACGTTCCTTTTATTAGTACAGCAGAATATGTTCTGAGTGAGGTAATGGGGAGTTCATTGAGATCCAATCGACAAAAGAAAATAAAGTTTAAAACTGTCTCCAAGGAGGTCTGATCTGATCAGAATAAACAGCTGTGACCACTGCTTTGCATCAAACTATGTGAATGATGCAGTTGAGGCTATTAGTTCTGAACTCGGATCTCCATCGCTGGCCAGGTGTTCTCCTGAAGTGAGCACAGATTGCCTCAAAAAACTGAATTCAACATTTTGCAACTTCGATCATAGTTACATTACGATACAATTTTGGTTATACAACCTTTCAGCGAATATACTTGGTTTCTCCCTTTTTTTTATTGTCTGGCATTCTTACAGGCATCGCAGCTCAACTTGATCCTATCCACACCTGATTCCCATACACATGCACTTTCCAGCAGAGGTCACTGGATAGCAATCGGGAGGTGAGTTTCATTTCCCATTTCTAATTAGCACTGTGGCTAATTACAGTGCGTCTTACCCCCATCCTCACCACTCTCACTTACCGACTATTTTGGGGGCAATTTGTTTAGGTGATGTTGCCAGTGATGGGATTGCACACTATGGTACTATATATCCCAGGAAGGGAAGCTAAACTGGAAAAAAAAATGCAAAGGGGATTTGATTTATTTGTTCAGTCAAGTGATGTAACTGGATTATTAAATCAACATCTCTTAATTATTTTAAGTGTGTACATAACTGTGTTACGTGTGGCGTTTTCTAACGTTATTGGATTACCACACGAGGACTGAATTTACTGGAACACATCTCCTCCCTCCAGCTCTATTATCACCCCAGTCGGTAAAAGGCCAGAAGCTTGCACACGCTGAAGTGATCAAATTCAATGGAAAGGGTTTGCCACAATGACAAAAAGTTTGGATAAAAGGGTAACTTACAGTTTCTGACTCTGTTAAAGTGAGCCAAGTTCCATGTGCACAACACGTGTATTGCGTTCAGGTTACCGTTGAAGTCATCCATGTGTTTCCCACAATGTTTAACTCTGCCTTTATAAATGCATTGCCTTTATTATTCATTTTACGGAAATGATATTATTCTGAATCGCACAGAATGATACGCCACGGAAACAGACCATTCAGCCCAACTACCCCCTGTTAATACTTTATGCAACCCCTCGAGATAAGTTATTCGAATCTGTCCTGCGCCCTTGATTCGCTGGTACGAGTTATTATTGAGGATATTAAAGTAGAACATTTTCAATTTATTAGCAATTTAGTTGCAGAGCGCAATATTAGTCCAAACCAATATGGAAATTGAATTGAGATTAGGTTTTAGATCCGTTATAAGAGGTTAGACGTGAATCATTGCTTCGCCCAGTGAAACACAAACTCTGCTCAATTCCTGACAGATGCGAAACGCGCTGTTTTGTCTGAAATCCAATTTAATTCAACACAGATTGGAAGACCCACAGCAAATGTTCGGACTGTAACATCGCCGTCAAGTACACAATTTAGACGTGTGATTGTATGGACAAATTAAACGTATTCCTTGTGAAACAGCGTCACTTCCAATCCACGCACTCTTTTGAGTCTCCAACTTTTCAGCACAAAAGACAGCGAAAACCCCACACGTTTCAGAGGCGTTGAAGGATCTTAAGCCAAACGCCACCCGAGGGGAAACCTCACGTTTTCGAAACGCCACCTGGTTCAAGGGGGAAAAAAAAGGAGCCATTTAAAAAAAAAAAGTTTGGTAGACACGAAAGAGTTTTTTTTTCAAAAAAAAAAGGACTTTTGTTTTTAATTCCGTTTCTTTTATTCCCAAATGAACAGAGTCCATACAGAGACACGACTCATAAGGTATCTATCTTTCGGTGAGTGTGAGTGCAGGAAGGTGATGGCTTCGTTTTGAACTTTCCTCCCTGCACAAGGGGTGAGGGGCACAAGTCCCATCTTGGGTTGTTACATATATATATATATATATAAAATATACGTATAAGTGCACACGTTTAGCGCTGGAGGAGGTGGAGTGCGTATGCGTAAGAGCGCACTGAATGGCAGCCCTTGGCGTGGGTTTGCCTATATAACCTCTCCGGGAATGACGAGGAGACTGGGATGAGACCAGGATTGGGGGAACGAGTCCTGATTGACAGGAGAGGGATCGCTTTGCCGACGATCCGTTGTGTGTGTGTGTGTGTGTGTGTGTGTGTGTTGTCAGCAATCTCTTCCCCTTATCAATAATTTACACAGGGAACCAGGAGCGCAACGCTATGCATTTATTTGAGCGTTGCCTTGTCAGGGCCCCTTCCTGCACTTCGGGGGTCATTTAATTCTGCTCCGAACTGAAGGCAAAGCAAGAAGGAGACGCAGAGCACGAAGCGGAAAGAAGGTCGACTTTTCCCCTCCCTCTCCCCCCCCACCCCACCCCACCCCACACACCCCATCCCCTCCCACACACACACACACACAGACAGACACACACATACACACACACACAGAAACAACGCACAAAAAGGCAATAAAGACACACGCGCGTTAAACAAAAAAAAACACTCCAAAGGAGGGAAGGAGGGGGGTGTGTGTGTGTGTGTGTGTGTGTGTGTGGTGGTGGTGGGGGGGGGGGGGTAAAAAAAAAAAGAAGGGGGAGAAACTGGCATCTGGATCAGGAGATAAGAGGAGAGAGAGCAGCGATCAGAGCCTCTGGAATCCGGCGATCCTTCGACATGTTGGAGCTGCTGTTCACTGTGCTTTGGTTTGCGGGTCTGGTGTACGGTCAGAATGAGACGGAGCCCATCATCCTGGAAGGCAAGTGTCTGGTGGTTTGCGACTCCAACCCCACCTCGGATCCTACGGGGACTGCTCTCGGGATATCTGTGAGATCCGGCAGCGCCAAGGTGGCTTTCTCTGTCATCAGAAGCACCAACCACGAGCCGTCAGAGATGAGCAACAGGACGATGATCATCTATTTCGACAACGTAAGTGGAGAAGGTGTTGCGGCTCTGTTTTTGTATGTATTGCACTTTGTTGGGGGTGGAGGGTGGTCGGGGGAGGAAGGGGCTACAATTTAAGAAAATAAGTTCTAATACTCGCTGTGCACATGTCGCCCCCTCCCCGAGGGCAGGTTACATTAAGTGCGTTTGGGAGCTCCGATGCACATGGCGGTGGTTCAAGAGTGGATAAGTTTAGCTCAAAGCAGTTCGGGGTGGGTTTATGCTTTGGTACGAGAAATAATGCGGGGAGGGGGGTAAGGAAGGAAGTTTGGGATGGAGTGAGGGAGGAGGAGGAGGGAGTGGTGGGGGGGTGGGTGGGTGGGTGGTGGTGGGGGAGGAAAAGTTTGCGCAAGGATTTTAAAAACACAAAAGTGTGCGATTGCAGTGAAAAGAAACGATAAACCGAGATGATCAGATTGAAAGCAAAAGAGTTCAATGAGGTTAAACTGAAGGAGGCGAGAAAGAAAGACACGGAAAGACAAGGGATGGAGAACTGGATTTGGGGGCAGGTGGAAACCACGGGTCATTGAAGGTGAGATTTGGGAATATGTAGTTGCAGATGTATTATATAGTTACAGTTACAGGCGATTCTGCTGTTCCGCAGGTCAGGGAGGAACACGTTAAACCCGAAACCTACATGTTCTTCCTAACGCTTCAATAAGCAATGCATCCATATCGCTGGCTCAGTCACTGACTCGAGCCATATTGTGTTTAATTTCAGATACTAGTGAATATCGGCTCCAACTTTGACTCGGAACGAAGTACCTTTATAGCCCCGAGAAAAGGCATTTACAGTTTTAACTTTCACGTGGTAAAAGTATATAACAGGCAAACGATCCAGGTTAGTAATTTGCGGGGTATCTCTCTCTCTCTCTGTGTGTGTGTGTGTGTGTGTGAGAGAGAGAGTGAGTGTGTCCAATATTCTGCAATTGGACACACTGTTTGCAAAAGCTGATATGATGCCTGCACATTTTCACTCTCGAGAATACTGTGGATTGAAAACACGCATTGATTCATTCTCCAAACATGTGTAGTTATAGTTGGATCACTTTCCGACACCGGATAGTTTGCTTCAACCGAAGCAGTCTTATTTCCTAAATTATTTAGACATAGTTAACACTAAAGAGGGGGAAGGGATCAAAAACCTTGTGATGCCAATGGCAGACCCGAATGAGCATGTTTCGGAAACGGACAACTTGGACACGTAACGTCGATGTAATAGCACTTCGATGCTTCTTGAACATTGGAGTTCAAATAGTTGAGTGCGCTTTACATTAATTGCGGCAACTTCTGTAGAAAGGGGGCCGAACAGTGAAGGGTTAATTAAACATCGTATGTGCACGAAATAAGCGACTTGTGAAAAATGTAGCTGATAATCTGGGTCACAGAATGAACACAAGGTCGGGATCCTTCCGAGGGGCTGGATTTATGGAATTGAATACTTTCGAGGGCTGTGATTTTTCGCGTGGATTGTGCACACATCTGTGTTCACTCGCCAATATTCTGAATTACAATGGCCCGTGGTCAGCTGTGGATTGAAAAAAACACAGCTTTAAAAAATGGTGTACCACCAATAACGAAGTCACAGGTTATACGAGTTAAATAACGATATGTATTACACACGTTTGGGTGATAACTGAATGCAGCAGCGTGTATGCTGACTGTAAAGTTGCAGTCTCCTGATGATTTGCTTTCTCACCCACAGGCGTGATAATTTGGTTAAGTATATCAGCTTTCTCATCGTAGCTCGTATTCAGTGATAGTCAGAGCAAAGCAAGTGGATGAAATAATAACACGGTTTGCGTTTTTAGTCCAACTGAAAGCACATGTAAACCGATGCATTCACGCGTTGTGTTTTTTTTTAAAAAAAAAACTTTTATGAAGAAGCCATGTTAAAACTACTTTTGACTGATTGTCACGAAGTAACTATTGGCACCAATTTTCAGGTACAGTAAATGGATCTCAAATACTGCAGGATGTCACAACATACGTAGCAAGGAAGGACGTGGGTGTTATAGCCAATAGATAGTACACAAGGAATCTTCAGAGCACTGTACTATATTTGATCGCAGCACAGGTTTACACAGTTGCGTGTTGCTCTCTTTGTATTTTGTGTCACTAAGTTTGACCTGAAGTATAAAAGCTTACGTTTAATGAATTAATTGCAACCTACAATACCTATCACGGTTGCAAGTTAAAGTGAATCAGAATTTATGGAGTACGATAATGATCCAAAAGGGGAGCAACCCCCCACCCCGTGGCAGTGTTGCATCCTTTTTATTACCTCATCGGCTTCCATTCGGCAAACTTTGAAGCCCCCCTCAGTCCCATTGCAGAGCATCTCCTTTTAACACAATATTCCCATTGATGCTGAGCACTCACTGCACGTTTCATGCATGAGCAATGCAGCAGGTCTGACAGTAATATGCAGCGGCAGTTGCCGCCTCGGTCCTGGCAGGAGACGGCACTCGTTCGGCGGTCAATGTGGATGCAGTTTCACAGCAAAATATTTGCGGGTTTACGCTGCTTCTCTCTCTCTCTCTCTGTGTGTGTGTGTGTGTGTGTGTCCGCTGCAGGTGAGTCTGATGTTGAATGGCTGGCCGCTGATCTCAGCCTTTGCGGGAGATCAGGACGTGACGAGAGAGGCCGCCAGCAACGGAGTGTTGACTCAGATGGAGAAGGGAGACAGAGCCTACCTGAAACTGGAACGAGGGAACCTCATGGGAGGCTGGAAATACTCGACTTTCTCTGGATTCCTGGTGTTTCCACTCTAAATGAAAACAAATGTCTTTTTTCTCTCTCTCTCTCTCTCTCTCTCTCTCTCTCTCTCTCACCCTGAACCCTTTCCTGTAATAAGAGGGTAGATACACTTTTAGTTCCCCCCCACCCCACCCACCACCCCACCCCTACCCACCCACCCACCCCAACGCCTCAACTACGTCTCCCAAGTCGTACAGAAAAAAAAAGTACACGAAAAGGGACAGTATCTCGTTTGACTGGCTGCCTAGCTTGCAATTTATAATGATTCATTCATTCATTCATTCTTTCCACACAAAAAAAAGAAATCTCGCCACTGCTCTCCATGTAACCGGAATCTTCTTTTTCAAAAGATAAGAAATTCTTTGCAAAATTATACTTATTCAAGTCCGAGAATATATATAAAGCAATGCCCCCCCCCCCCCCCCCCCCCCACCATCCTTGGCCTGTGAAGATTACGTACAGTGCAAACATGTTGACGTGTTATTTTTCTTTTAAAGCGCAGTATTTTCGCACTCTGTGGCGAAGACTGCAATTATATAACATGTACGATTGCGACTTTGAATAGTTTAACGCTGACAAGTCGTGAGCACTGTCTGGACAGTGAGAGCTGCACCTGGAGCGGTTTAAAACCAGATACTGTCTCTTTCCAAAAAAAAAAGCAAAGCAGGAACCATGCTTATCTATGCCTATATATGTCTGCTATGCGGAATCTTAGATGGTTGCAGCCCCAAAAATGCAGCATATAATTACGTTGATTTAATTTGCCTTTGTATTTATATACCATATAAAGTACTGTCGGTCAGTCTTACGACTGATGGCAAAAAAACAAAGGTCGCCTATATAAACCTAGACCTTTATATTTAAAAAAAAAGTGACATGATGGTGATATCGACCTTGCCAAACCAGGGCGGTTAGTTGTATTTCAGTATTTCATTGTATTCCGAGTGATTGTGTGAGGCCGCTAAACGTTTCCATGCATTTAACTATCGTTTTTGTTCCAGTAATATTATCATGTGGCCATACCGAACGCCAAGAAATATTATCAAAAAAAAGTTTATCACTCTGTAATATATGTGTGAATATTTATAAAATTGAATTTTTGCTTTTATTTCAAATAAATTTTAAATGTAACTTATTTTTGTTAACCAGAAATCATGGTTTGGAGCCGCATATTTTTATTGGAGCATTCTTAAACGCCAGAGTTAACATTTTTTTAAAAAAAAGACAAGCAGCAAAAAAAAAGGGGGGGAAATGTCTCACACTGATTGTTCCCTACAACGTTGAAGCTTGAATGCAGGTTGACAATAATAATAATAATAATAATAATAAGCGTGTAAACCCGACGAAGCAAGACAAGTTGTTTAAGCACTTTGCAGTTGATAAGATTGGTCCTGCAGAGCAGTTTGTTTGATGGGTCAGAGTGGGTGGGTGACTGGATGAACTTGCCTCGGTCATCCCAGTTCTGCCATGAATTAACTAGTTCGTAGCGAGGAAAAGCAACAGGAGTGCTTGTGCCAGTCGGCTGCCCAGTCTCTCGGAAAATTCCCCAGCGTTTTGCGTTCAGGTTCTCCATTCGGGGACACCTGCTGGAAAGTCCAGGCGTGTGAATATTGGGAGGACGGGAGTGGCTCTGTGTGTGTGTTTCCCAACTCACTCTTTTCCCCTCCCAATCTGTGATGGAATAATTTGGATCCTGGCGGCGAAGGCACATGCATCAATAATAGCGAATTGGGCCAGGAACCAGGGCGCAACCAAGGCTATATATAGCACCCCAGCTACACATGATTGCTTTCAGGGGAGAATTGGAAGAGAGGAGGACAACCTATGCTTTAACAGCTGACTTGGGGCAGTCTTGTATCCAGGTCCACCTGCCTGCTTCAGTGTTGAGGTGCTGATTGAACTGATGCGCAATTGAAGTGATCAGCACATCCTCTGCATAAAGCTTTGGCTATGATTGTCATTACATACAGAATGATTGTTTTGTACGCTCGGTAGTTGGTGGCAAGAAACTACTCATCTATCATGGATGTACTGGTGGGAATCTTTCTAAAGTAATATCACTTTTGTTTTACAAAAAAAANCTACATACCATGTTGGTAATACGAGCAATTGGATACGCAACTAATATTCGCATTTGACTTTTTTTTTAAATTGAATTTCGTGGAATTTAAACCCTGTGTGTGTACATGTGTGTGGCTTGAGCTGGTTGTGTGTGATATATTGCAGGAGACTGCATGTGCCATTGTCCTTGCTCTTGGAGAAAACCTTCATTTTTATAATAATCTGGTTTCTTAAACCCTCAGCACTGACCAAAATCTTAACTGAACATCACCTGGATGCACCATTTAGATTTTGGGAAAGAAAGCTTCGAAAACAGTTTCTCCAGAGATTATTGTCTTATCCTATTGGGTTTTGAAGGGTCAGAAATGCAAGAGTCTCAGCGCGAATTCAGTAATATACATTTTCTAAAATCCCAAAGTAACGCTACCTTCCGTTTATAGTTTGCACAGACAATTAGATAAACTGGCGTGGGAAAAAAAACACAAGCAGAAGTTGGAAGGGCCTAAGTATTTTTGCGTGGAGGAAATAACACTATTTTAGACAATGGATAGGGGGTGGAAAAATCTGGTAGATTAGAGAGAGCACTGTGCTTTTGTTGCAATTAGTATTTGCCGACCCAAGGTAAGAACATTGGATTTTTTAAAAATGTAAAGTCACGTTTTAACACTCGGGGAAAGAATCAAAGGGAATGGGAAAAACTGTACCAGGCTTGACTGCAGTTAATCTGTGACTCTGAACTGATTTCTGCAGCGAAGAGCTTAATTAGCTCCTGTGGGGAAAATTAATACTTACATAATAAGCAAAGATGCTCTATTCGCAGCTGTATTAGTATAATAAAGTGGACGGATCTGCACAATGACGCGGTCTATGTCAATCTAAGCAGAGTTAATGTTTTACATTAACCGGATGCATTTTGATGAGCTACATTTAACTGGATCAGATCTGGCAAGGGGGTGGGTGGGGGGTGGGTGGAGGGGGAAAGAAACACTACTCTGGTTCAAATAGCTTCATTTGTATCTTCGAATATCAAGTTCACCCCTTTCTCTTCGGTTCAGTCTTCCTTGAGCTTGGGGGAGCTTTCTGACTGGATGTGCAAACCAGATATTGCTGTGTTATTGTCATTTTTCTTTAACCCCACCACACCATTGAAACAATTGGTTATGCATGTGTTTTTTGAGGTACTTGAGAACAGTCCCTTGACATCTGTGATGCTTGGAACTCAAACGATAGTCGCTAAACACAACAGCAGATGCGGTCTGGCAGAACTGCTCTTGCACTTTGATCTGTGCTGAAAAGCAGATTTAATTTAATCTATATATTTTTTTCTACTGTTATTGTGACTTGAACTTCATCTGCAGGAGCTGGGTGGCCAGGCAAGAGAAGCGCTTTTTAGCTGTGGGTTTGTATATTTTTGGAACTGATGCGAAGTGGCTGTAAAGGAGGTGAAGTTGGTGGGAGGTGGGAAGGTGGGGGGATCTCATCGATAGACCATCAAAGCCTTGTACCAGTGGGCTCTGAGAGGATGCTCAGAAGGTCTGTGTGCTGAGAGGGAGGGAGGGAGCCTTACAGCAACTTGGTGAATGTGGTGAGCTGACTGGTCACTGCCTCTCTCCTGGTCATGCCCTGAAGGGAAAGCTTTCGAGAAGCAGTATGATGTAGTCCTAATGAGCAGAGTTGCAGCTAAGCCATCAAAGAGCCAGGACTTTTATTTCAGTGTTTTTTTTAAAAAAAGAAATCATCCTCGCTCTGACAAACACAACCTCCTTTCGCACCCAGTTAGAGAATTGTAACTGTACCTGGATCCAAAGTTTGCATCCGTCACCTTGTGCTCAGTACGTGCAGATTATTATCGACGATTTTCTTTGGGATAAAAGGTGCATTTAACACACTCTCGATCTTGTTTATTCCTGATGAGAGGATGAACCTTTCCCCTACCCCCCCACCCCCCCCCCTCCCCGAATTATTTGGAACGAGGCGAGATTAAATTATTTTCTTTGTTATTTCAAAAGGAAGATCACAGAGTTTATTCCTTGACTTGGGGATGATTTTCATATTTACACATTCTTACACCCCCCCCCCCACCCCCTCCCACCCGCTTGGAGCGAATACAGTATTTACCAGCAACACAAAGGGTTGGAAAAGTGGACAGAACCAACTGAAATATCACCACCACAAATCAGCTGCAATGTTTAGTCACTTTTTCCCGGTTATAACATCTCTTTTTAAAAAAAAACCTCCCTGAATATGACAGATATTCATAAGGGCTTTCTACATTACACACAATGCCCCAAAGCCAGAGAGACAACTGACTGAATTTCGTTTTAAGAATACTGAGACAGGGCGTTGAGTTTGAGGATCTAACTCTTAAGCATCCGTTAACATACCAGTTGCACTTTATTTTAAAACTATTGGTGGCTTTATTTTAAATCTTAATTCCATCTGAATATCTTATTTATCAACAAAATAAGGAACGTCATGATTGTGAATATTTAAAAGGCAGAATCCATCCATGACTGGCCATGTGATGCCACGTTTTGCACTGTGTCCTTCAACAAGTTATTTGGGAATTTATTGATGCCTTTCAGTAACATAAACTCTCAATGAATAACTTTATTCGAACCATTCCACTCAACGCCTCTTGAATGAGGCCTACTAGAATCCCCTGTATTATTTCAGTAAATGTTGTTTCTCTCTGAGTTTACTGTAAACTTACCCTCCACATCTGATTTGGTTTACATTGAAATATAATATGTTACTGTTAAACCAGATCATATGTGAATGAAGTGGTGCTGCAGATTGACTCGTGATTTTACCCCAAAATAAGATGGTGAAGTTCGAAAATATACACACATACATGTATATGCATAAGGCACTCATTCATCAATTAATTAATTGAACACCTTTTTATCGAGCTTGCTATTTTTCACAATATAACTAGTATTTGCTTAGCGTGAATTGAATTGCGAGAGATGATAATCACAAAAAAATGTGTTGGTATTGGCATCTCTTTAATCCCAGTATGGACACGGTCTGATAGGCTGCTGCATTGTTTTAGAGGCAAATAATTAAGAGAGATGACCAGATATCTGAAGATGGTACTAAAATGAACCTCAACCAAGCAGAAATAAACCGCAACCCTTTCATACATTGACTGAAAACTAAAAATAGAAATCGGAATATGATATTTGACTTTCTTGAACATTTTTAAGAGCAGGCAAGGGTTTTAAAATTAATCAAATCAGTGAAGGTCCGTCTTTCGCACCTTCCCAAGCGATCGCAATGGCTAATTACAATGTAGGTAATACTATTGTGATCAATGTGGACCATTAATTCAGGTAAAGGGGAAAAAATATCACTCAATTC